TATATATATATATATATATATATATACATACATACATACATACATACATACATACATACATACATATATACACATACATACATACATACATACATATATACACATACATACATATACAGGGTGTCCCTGACTCTCTTCCGCATATTTTGTGGGAACATAAAACGGTAAACATAAAAGTTCCATACCGTTTTGCAATATTCGCAATAAATCTCAAAATATTAATTAAAAAAAGATTGGTGAAAGTTCACGCGCGATACGGTAGATGTACTGCAGTAGCGCTTTGCCCTTGTATACTTATACATTAAGTCAAATTGAACAAAAAAATCCTCTACCATTTTGCAAATCACATAGATTTTTAAATATTAATTAAAGAAAGTTTATGTATTATATCGCGCACAATTGTGTAATAATTTTCTTTCATGAATAATTAAAAGTCAACATAGTTATTTGCAAAATGGTAAAGGACTTTCTTGTTCAATTTGACTTAATATATAAATATACACCGGCAGATGGCGCCACTACATCTCATCTATCATATTGCCCGTGATCATTCACCAATTTTCTTTAATTAATATCTCTACTATTATTGCGAATACCGTAAAACAGTGTAGAACTTTTATGTTTACTTCGACTTGTACTACATTTCCACAAAATATGTGGAGGAGAGTCTGAGACACCCTGTATATATATGTGTCTGCATACACAGAAAAAATGCTTTTGAATGGAAAAAGAAAAAAAATAGTTTCGCCAAATTAAACTTCGACATCATATAGGTTACCACAAATATAAACATTTGCTTTAATTATATTTGTATAATAGCATTTTTTAAATGTAGACATATATGATTATATTTGATTATACAGAGTGGCTCACGTAAAATACAACCTGATAACCTAAAAACTCCAAAAGTATTTGTATAAAAAAATATATCAAAAAATTGTTCATGAGAAAGCTTCATGTATTCAAGACGTCTTTCTAACTATGTAAACAAAAATTCGTCCCCGTTCCCCTTGAAGAGGGGCGGGAAGTAACTTCGTAATTTTAAATGGTACTTCCTATGAAATGTTACATATTTAAATTATACGGGGGAAAACAAAATAAACTTTATCTGGGACATTTCTTTGAAAAATGTTTTTATCACAAATTTTCTATTTTTTCTTACTTTATTAAACGTTTGAACTATTGACCATTTATATTTAAACACTTGTTAATTTTTCCTACAAAATTTTGTTTAACATTTTGTTTAACTCTGTTTGTTTCAACATTTCTAGGTTCATGTTAGCGCAAGCTTCACGTATTTTTCATTTTAAGTCTTCTCTTGTCATAGGTGGTTGAAACATGATTTTCTGTTTGATATATTTCCATAAAAAAATATAAGATAAGGTGAACGAGATTAGGTTACTTGTTTTTTTCTGTAGAATCCAAATATGTAATACTTTATAGGAGGTTCTATTTAAAATTGCGAAGTTATCCCCCGATCCCTTCAAAGGTGAGCGGGGATGAATTTTTGTTTACATAGTTAGAAAGACATCTCGAATACATGAAACTTTCTCATGGACAACTTTTTTTGATACGACAAATATTTTTAGAGCTTTTAAATCGTCATAATTTACGTGGACCATCCTATGTATAATCGTATCGTGTCATATATAAATTTCATATATGATTATTTTTTCTCAGATACATAGAGACAGAATTCGCATGTGGGTTATATATAATAATATGTAATTTATATGTGTTTATTCACAATTTTAGAGAGAGAGAGAGAGAGAGAGAGAGAGAGAGGAGGGGGAGAGAAGGATAGGATGTTTGACGCAACTAATTAATAATTGCGCGCGATCGTTTGCCAATCTCTTTTAATTAATAACTCAACAATCTGTGGTTATTTGAAAAATGATACAAAATTTTTTTATTCATATAATTTTAATGTATACAAGCACTTAACTGGATATTGTATTTGCCGTACATCGTATCCTGTACTGTATCACGTATAATCGTTCACCAATCTTCTTAGATTAATAACCTAAGTAGCACAGCAGCGTCTGCAAAGCGCTTACAAAGCGCTTTTGCAGGTGTCTTACTGCTATAAAAGCGCTTTGCAAATACTTTGTGCTACGTGGGAACTTAAAATTTTACGTGATTTTTTACAAATAGCCTTTGTTTAGTTTCGAATTCTATATATGTACAGATGTACATATATAGAATATATGATGACAATCATATATGGATGTACAACTTGCGTCAGACATTTTGTGTAATTACACGTATTCCTTCTCTGATATTTGATATCAATAGAAAACTAGACATTTCCGATTAATGTTTTCGGCCTCTCCAACGAAAAGATCTAGTTTTATATTGATCAAATAGATATTAAATTATATTATTTACATCTATGATCCTGAGTTGACTTTTATGGATTTGATTCTTTTCGTGATTGTACATAGGAGAAAAACTTGTTATTTATTCTGTTAAGAAAATACTGTTTATATATACTATAAGTCCAAGCAGAAACTGATAAAAATACATTGAGAGAAATAATGATTGATCTAATTAAAATAATAACTATTTTGGTCCTAATTATATTTTTTGGTAGTTGTAATATGAAAATGGTAGTAATATAGACATACATATAAGATTATTATCACTAAAGTTATAATAGAATTGAACTTAAAAATTGTTTTTATAGCCATAATTTGTAGTAATTATTTTTTTATGTGATTATATAGTTACAAGTATCGTTTTTCTCAGTGAGAGTTTTGTAAATGCTTGGTTACTTATGGATGCCTCGAATATATTATAGCTTTCGCGCGCGTTATTGTTTTAATTATTATTTAACCAAATTAACGGCAATGTATACGGGAAACGTTTCGCTCGTCGTCAAGGCAATTTCACCAATCCGCGAGGCAACGACATAAAGTCACGTTATACGTTCCCTGAAGTGGAAGGACCTACCATTGCAGGTGAGCGGGATCAGTACAGAGATCTTCAAGCAGATCGAGACTGTCGAAAACGATCATGACGCTTCGACAGCGGCGGCCCTCGAAGCTGTCGAGCGGAGAGGCGAGATGGTTGTGCGTGTCATTGAGCCTCGGCAAATGGGTAGACAGGCTTCCGAGGCGGCGAAAAAATTTATCGCCATGCAGGTTCGTTATCGATAAACCGTCTGCTTCCGACAGATTGTGATTCATTTGCGTCGAAAGCGCGAGATTTTACCGCGCCGTAAATCCATGTCGCGCATAATTCTTTATGTTATCGTCGTCATATTAACTCTTTGTTCCCGTCATCCATCTCATGGCATCTACATCTATTCGTTGTTTCTTTCTCTTTTTTTATATATACAAACCAACGGAACAATATTACAATTTTGCAATATTTGACGTCATCTTCTATTAATATATAGTACATATAAAAAGCATAAAAATACATTAGAGAGAGAGGGAGAGGGGGGAGAAGGAGAGAAATAGTTTATCCTCTTTCATCAAATTATTTCGTCAATATATAAATATAATTTAGTGGGTTGTAATGTAAAATGGAGAGATGCAAACGCTGCGCGTATATTAAAATAAAAATTAGCCCCGTTGTGAGTGTATATTTTTGTTTTGCTACTGTTTTCGTTAATATTATATTTTGTTCGACAATAATTACGGTGGAAAACAAATATTACAAGTATTAAAGAAATTTTCGTCGCCGAAATTAAATCAGAATAATAATATAACTAATTATTCGTCATTAATTTTTTTCTCCTTTTAATTCGTTTCGTCCCGGAACTGAAGCCAACAGACAATTTGGCGTTACACGCCGCTTGCATCGCGACGATTCGACGCAACTCGGCCACCGAGACAATTATTCTCGCGACAATGAAGCAATTCCGCGCCGCGTAATTTCCGCGCGATGGGTGTGCACAAGAGGTGGGCGGGAAAGAGACGCGAAGGGAACGTGCCGTAAGATATTTCCATGGCGCGAATTAAGAAAGTTCGCCGGGCGATCTTCGTTTCAGGATCCCAAGCACCCTATCCACTTCGTCGAGATAATCAAACGACCAGGACAGACTCTCGGCCTCTACATACGCGAGGGCAACGGCGTCGACAGGAACGACGGAGTCTTTATCTCGAGGATAGCCTTGGAGACCGCCGTCTACAACAGTGGCTGCTTGAAGGTGAGAAACGACCTCTTCACCTGGCCTGAATTTTGCGAGTCGTCGCTGTGCCGAGAAACCGACGCGATTGCGACCTGGGAGAACAGGACGAATCCGTGTCTCGCTTTCTTCTCGTCTCGTCGGATCTTGGAATCCGCATCATGTATTTAAAAGGCTCCGTGGTCTATTTCGAGACGCGCTTGGATTCCATGTTTTCGTCCACGGGCCATGAGAATGAAACAGACGAGCCGAAATAAATATATCCCCTCGCACCTTGACATTTCGCGGTTCGGCATTGATCGATTCCTACCAGGGCGACTCTATCCCTCTCGGCTAACCGCGCGAGCGGATACAATTCTCCCCTCCGCCGGCCAGGTGTGTGGCGGGCGTGTTTATCGGTCATCCGCGAGCAGTCATGTATTCGCACGTGCAGGTGGGCGACGAGATCCTGGCGGTCAACCTGGTGGACGTGACGCACATGAGCCTGGACGATGTTGTGATCATCATGTCAATACCAAGGCGACTCGTTTTGGCTACCAGACATGGCCCGCATCAACCGGTTTCGCACAGTCGCCAAACAGAGCACAAGGCGCCGCCTGTGGTAGTCATCAAAAGGGAATTGAACGAGGACGAGAGTGACCACGCGACGAGTAACCACGTCAGATATTCGGCCTCGTGAGTTTCACCTTTTTCAACTTTTTCTTAGTAGGCCTTTCACGGCAGAACGTAAATTCCACTTGTGTTCGCAATGCAGCGCGCGCGCGCGCGCGGAATGTCTCGGAAATCGCAGATCGCAATCCCAGCGACGTTGATTTTTCTAAGCGCAGCAGTCCGTCGAAAGTGAACGGCATCTCGCGGCAAATTGGCCAGCTTGGGACACGCGCCGCTTTGGATGAATTTTATTCTTACGAGCAAAAAGAATTATTATATAGTTATAATTATATGATAAAATTATGGTTAATTGTATATGTGACAATCTGTGAAAGAACAGTCGTGCTTGATTTAACGCCAATTCTGTTTAATTATTAACTAAAAAAATCTACGCGATTATTTGCAAAATGATAAAACACTTTTTTGTTCAATTTAATCAATATATAAATATACAAAAAATCGTATTTATTTGCCGTTATATTTTGCACCATATCTTACGCGATTATTCGCCAATCTTTTTTAATTAATAACTCAAAATTTTATGTGGTTGTTCGTAAAATAGTAGGAGAATTTTTTGTTCAGTTTGATTTAATCTGCACGTACACGAGAATTTTATATGTTATTGTCAGGCACCCTGTGCAATTACATATATATACGTTCACACACACACACACACACACACACACACACACACACACACACACACACACACACACATACACACACAAAGTGTTCCAGACTCCCCTTCGCAATTTTTTGAGAACGTAGAACGGATTAAAGTGAACATAAAAGTCCCATATTTTGCAATATTCGCAATACCTTGAGATATTAATTAAAGATTTGTAAATTATCGTGCACAATCATATGTACTAGTTTTTCTTCGTTAATAACTAAAAGTCTACGTAGCTATTTGCAAAATGATAAAGGAGTTTTTTGTTTAATTTAACTTAATATATAAACACAACAGTATACTATAGTATATCGCCACTACAGTTCATCTACTATGTCGCGCGCGTGATTATTCATCAATCTTCTTTAATAATTAATATCTCGACTATTATTGCGAATATCGCCAAACATTATTAGGACTTTTATGTTCACTTCAGTCAGTTCTACGTTCCCACAAAAATTGCGAAGGAGAAGCTGAAACATTCTGTGTATATATATATATATATATATATATATATATATATATATATATATATATATA